CAGTTACATTGCTGGCTTACTTGACTGAAGGCACGAATAAATTAAACATTTTTAAATTGAAAACTTAAAATCTACAGGAAGTTTCAATAAGAGTAAAAATAGGAAATGTACTAAAACTACTAAAGAATATTTTCAAATTGTGTTACAAAAATTAGAAGAAAATCCTAATACATCTTTAAGAATAGTATTGAGTAATTAAATACATATATTGTTTATATTTGAGCTTAAGGTATTCCCTGAAACAGTAAATCCTCAAACAATTATTGCCTGGTTTCCATATTATGATCATACGTATGCTCCAGTTCATTTTTGGGCCCATATAATCTTGACTGATAATCTCCTATTTCCCCTGAGTATGATTTGATTCAGTTCAATTATGTTTTATATTATTTTATTAGATGTGGTTTTTGTTTATTTCACAAACACATTGATGTAAGTCTGGCAAACCATGTCTCATTTTTTTGTGAATCAAGCATAAAATTACTGTTATTTATTAATTATCATGTTTTATTATTATTTGTTTAGAAGAAGTAGGAATTTCATATAGTTCAGTCCAGAAAATTGCGAAAAAAAAATATATCATCCATTTAAATGAAATACTGTTCAGCATTTAAAATTTGATGATTATGAATGTCGTCAAGTTTGGATTGCAAAGGTGCTTATTTGAATTCTACCGGCATTTATTATCGTTTATCAACTAATACGTGATAAGATTGTATACCAGGAAACAGTAACCAGTGTTATATTGTGTAACCATGATGGTTAAATTGTAAAATTTGTAAAATGTTATTTTTATACTTTACATATAGCTGATAAGCTGCGCTGCAGGCTAGTCGTTCATTTCACTGACACTCGGTGTTCTGGTGGGAGTGAAGATAGGATACTTTTTTTTTTGTCTAATAGTATTGTTTATCTATCTTGTTATTATCAATTATGACCCTAATGGCTAGTGTTAAATTGAAATAAAATTTCGTTTTTGACTTCTGGTTTTTACTGTTGGGTTTGTAAGATTGCCCAGTAGCAGTAAATTAAACGAATATTGAAACATTAATAAGTCGCAAACGGATTACTCAAATTAAATTCTATAAACGTGAAATTTATTTTTTTCAGTATGTCTATAGATTTTTGTTAACGTAAATAGGTATCGCTATTTGAAAATCAAAAGTTGATAGTGTTTTATCAAATAAGGGAGTAAGTTAAAATTATCAAAATTGTAACACAGTGTAAAAAAGTAAAACCTAGAAAGTTAAAAAAAAAAATTATTTTAAAATTCCTTATACTTCCCGAGATATTAACTGGTTCACGATAAAAAAATCACCCTGTATAGTAGTTTATCTTATGAATTTAATATATTTGCATGATAATAATACATTATTTTTTCGATTCAAGTTATATTTTAATAAATAAATGGAATATTATACAGATTGTCTATCAATTTAAGACATTTTATTTATTGCTTAGTCATTGTGAAATCTATGCTATCCAGCATTGACTGGATAAATTAAATAAATAGTTATATTTTTAAACATCAATCAACTATAAAAGTCATGCTTTTGTAGTTTTCGTGACTACGTTAGGCGTTCAACGTTATTTACCTATTTTCGATTACAAGCTTTGGTTAAACGTTATAAAAACTGTTCAAAAATTGATCATAATCAGACATATAACCGTTCTAATAAAATCTAATATAGAGCGAATTCCCAAATTAAATGCAATTTAAGTAATCTCCCCTAAAAACATTTTGCTACCGCCATATTACACTTACGTAATTTCCCCTAAAAAACATTTTGAACCATTTAGTATATCCCAGAGAACACCTCGTGGAGGTAGTTCTATTCAATAAATAATAATATCATTTTTAAAATTAAGTCAATAAAATGCTTATTGATATTAAGATGAGATATTTGTTAAAATAAAAAATAAAAATTATTTGGTTTTATAACTTTTTTATTTAGTTCAACTAAAATATTTTATCGAAATTTTATTAAAATAACTTAAAATTTTGTTAATTTTATCAAATACATTATTAATTTAACGAATATATTTTGAATTTACAAAAATAAAATTATTTTAACAAAATGGTTATTATATTGAATGTAACTAAAATACACTTAGTTTGTTTTTAATGATTTAATAATTTAATGATAACAAAGATACAATTAATTAATTAAATTTAAATAAATACTGAAAAAAACGAAATTAAAATGCAAAAATGTATGGAAATGTAATACATGTTAGTTAAATGTTTTTAGGGGAGTTTACTTATAAGGGAATTTACTATTTCATCTTTTAGAAGAGTTTACATTTGCCCCCTGTTACAATATATATAAATACAAACATGTAGTTTTTAACAGAACATTTTTTAATGGCATATCTTATAATTGTATTTTGTTATAGGTGCTCCTGGGTCTCCTGATTATGGTAAATTATATTTTTGTATAACAATTTTTATTACTCACGTATCCTTAAACTTGTAGGATTTATATATTATGTATGTAGTCACATTAAAATAGTTAAAATGAAAATCGAAATTAATACTAGATTGGTATGAAAAATTTATTTTCACTGTAAGTGTCGATGTGTGTAACAATTTTTACGTAAATATACACGAATTTAAATGACGAATTTATTATCCTGAAAGTGTATGATTATGACAACCACCGTTACCATACATATCCAGAAATTAGATGCATCGCCGTATGTTGCGGTCATTATCTCCATTCCTACAGAACTTTCATTTACAATAGTTATATAATATGCATATGGTATAGGTTTATTATGCATTCATAAATGTGAATATGATTGTGGGTACTGTGTAAAATTAAATTCATAATAATTACAACGTGTTCCATCGTTCATAACCTCGTTAATATTCCTGTCAATAACTACCATAAAAGCAGTTCGTATATATAATATATAGATATATCTGAAAATAAATGTAATTATCATAATATAAAATATAATTTATTGTATTAAAATAAATAATCCTAAAGAATGATTTGTCATTTAAATAGTTTATTAAGCAAATTACTGTAATATATATTGGATACATTTTTTTTTTTTTAGGTAAATCGCTAAAATACTACAATCATCTTAAGAAGACGTTATATGAAAATACAGCAGGTGCGAATTCTATTATACACTAATTATTAATAATATATTTTTTTTTTTAGTTATTAGTTAAATTATAAAATAGCAATACTGTGTGTGTGCCGTGTAGATACCTAATCTCAAACAATGTAATTTATCGAAAATAGGTTCACAACTGTTAGCTTCAGATATGCAATAAATAAATAATTTGGCATAACAAAAAAAAAGTGATACTTAACTTAACGGTAAAAAAACTTTTGTGTTTTCTTACGTCAATAGTAGGTACTTAAGATATTTTCTTGTGAAATATAAGAGGATTCAAAATCTATTAAAATTGAATTTGTGTAGAATTAATACGATTAAGAGGTTTCAAAAGTTTTCAATCTTTATGACAAGTCAATTGAAAGTCGGTACTAAAACACAAAATGGTTGGTCTCCGGCAACTGAAAGGCCGTACCGTCGTAATCGTTGTACGTCTTACGTCGTCGCCGCCGCAATAAGAGTAGTGTTGATGGATAAGCGACGAATCGAGAAGACATATTATATTTTCGTTGCATACTCAAAATCAGTCTTAAAAATATTTAAACGTTTTTAGTTATAATATTAAAGCCGTCTAACCAATCTACTTTCGAGTTTCTCTGTTCCCATTTACACAATATTTCTGATCGATTGAAATGTTATACGACTTTATATTTTTAGCCCTTTGCACTGTAGATCTGGCCGAATGGTTAACACAAATTAGCACGGTATTTTTATGGAACAACTTAGTTTCTGTTATTATACGTTAGTGGCTACTACACTATTTTTTTATTTATACTTAGCTTCGTGGTACTACCGTCGCACTGGATAATATAAAACAAAAATAATTAGCCTGGAACCGTGTCTACAGTGAATAAGGAAACTTAAGACCAGACATAATTGTATAATCAGCTTAACTTTTTTCATGTAGTTAAACTTTCTGATCTAAGACTAAACAAACTATTTTTTTCTATCATATTAGACGAAGAATTTGAGTGTATATGCAAAGGGGCAATTGGTGGGTAGCTATTCCGACGATATGTGGAAATCACACGTCAGATCGAAAATGCGACGTAATACAGATGTTTCTACACGATTTGTACACTATATTCTTATGCATTGACGTGAAGCCTTGAAGTACAATAATTGAGGGTTTAACACAAAAAAGTTTTAATTGTCAAAACCAATAAAAAAAAAAAAAAATGGTCTGATAAGACTCCTTTACTTTCTAAGTGTGCTTAGGAAATTGACTAATACTTCTGAAATAGATTCTGTGCTAGATTTTAATTTAATAATAAACCTCAAGAAATTATTAGATTTTTATATTATTATATACTCAATCTAAAATTACTTTTATTCTAATGAATGAATTTACAATTAATGCACGATAAGCATAAATGTTTGAAAGGGTAGTTTTTTTATTCACAAATACAAGATCTAAAATCAAACAAAGTTATTGACTTAAGAGATTCTTAAAATTATTATACATTTACAAAAAAAAATAATATTTTTTAATTAATTTTTTGTAATGGAAAATCTATATTTTGGAGATTTAATCTATCTCAAATTTATTCCTATACGATCTTAGCCCATAATATACAAGCTTGTAGTAATCTATAAGGAAAACACGATTTTATTGGATGAGATTGATTCTTATTATTAATGACCATTTTTTATGCTTTAACATAAGATTTTTGTTCATTTATTTAGAGTTTTTAAATAATATGTGCTATTATTCATTAACACAAGGGACGGGTTTTAAACGAATTTATACTTACATAAAATTAATTATTTATACATTTTAAATTTTCCAATTTAACATTCCACAAATCATGAAAAAAATTCATTCATAATAAAGGTATTTATTTATTTTTGTTTTTAGCTATGGCAGATTTTAGTGTTAGACTTTGGTGTGAAGGTAACATTCAAGTTATAATGAAGGCACTAAAACTAACCTCATAAAATAAATGCTTCAACTATTAACACTATTAAAAACAATTGGATATATCAAGCCTATTAATGAAAATATCAAAACCATAGACAAATAACCACAGAAAATAAGAAAAAGAATCCACTTTATTAACATTTTTAGTATTTATTCTTAGGTTCCAAGAGTTTGTAAATCATAAATTATTTATCTAATTGTTGTGTTGTTTTTTTTCTTTATTGGTTAGAGGGGAAATGTAAAAAACTGATTGTTATAAAATCGGTCATTAAAAATTAAAAACTTTAATTACTTTTAAGTTAGACATTAATCAAAATAAAAAGCTAATTCTACTGTTAAGTATGTTTTTACTGTGCATTGTAATCCAGTTCATACCTTTAAAGGATGTATTAAATTCCAAGTTGACTGCTTTTTGAAACCTACAGTTCTTACTGGTAAAAAACATCCAGCTTCGAATTAAACTTCTGCAACAAATTTCAGGTTTACGAGTGTGATAGACATAGCCATAATTCACTACACACTTGCACAGTGTACACACAGTCTTGCCTTCAATTAAAATATTCTACTTAACAACACCACACTGTGCTAAAATATGAAAAAAAGAGGCTAGAAATTGATTCAGAGCCTAAACTGTTCTTTATCTTTAAATTAACAGTATATGAAATACCCCCACAAGATTTATTTTTCCAGACAAGTCCAAAAAGATCTAGGATCGGCATTTAGCTTACACTCAGTTCGAGTAAAGAGCGATTATTAGCAACTTTTGAATTCAAATTTATGACGAGTCTAGATATTAGAACACTTGTTTAATTTCTGGAACAACCCAACACTAAATTGGGCAAGAGCTCACACCTTAAAACATATTATCTCAGGATAGCATGCACAATATAAATTAAAATATTTATGAAAGTTATCAAAATTTTGAAGGTCAGAGTTAATGGTGAATTTAATAACAAAAGTGTGGTGACATGACTATAGGGAACAGAAACCATTTCTGATTTTTCTATTAAAACACTGTAGTTAATAAAAAATACCAGATTAAGAATATCCCCAAAGTGAATCGAGAACCCATTAAGTTGGAAAAAATTATTGAACACAAATAAATCGGGGACACGCTGCAATCTAGGGCCTGAAGACGAATAAAATATTAGGCCATAAACGATCACGCGTTTTCAATAAGATATTTCATTTGCGCGTTTCAATCGTTTGGATAGAAATGCAGCATCGAGGTCACTCTTATGCAACAAGAGATTGCACTGAAACGTGTTGGCGATTATAATATGTAAATTGCATCCTGGAGATTGTTCTTCAGCAATAACATAAATCAAAAACAACTCTAAGGATATCAAAAATATCTGATGTACCATTGCCGTTAAGACCTAAGCACTTTCAACCATATGGCCATTATTTAAATATTTAACTTATACTATGTTTGATTTAAATAAAAACCCTATGTTCGTTAATAAGTTGTATTATTTATTTATTCAAATTATTAAAATAATTGATCGCTGAAAGTACGCACGAAACAGTGTGGCTCTCCACAAATATTTTTTAATATTAATTGTAAAATCATAACTATTTAGTATTTATTTTTTTAATAGTTTAAAATAAATAATAATGCGCAACCAAGGGTCAGTTTCTACAAAAATATATACAAATATTATTCAGTTTAATTCTAATAACATAATAGTTTAATTTTGTTGATTGTTTGTGTATATAAAACGATTATACAATAAAAAATGCCAGTAAGACGCAAATGGCCTCATTTGCCCTATCGAATGACCAAAAATTTCTAAAAAAAAATCTCGTCAATGATATTTGAAAATGCCAACATTCATAATAAAAATATCTTTCTAAAATTGAACTTATCAACCGTCGATTACCATCGCTTGTTACAAAATATCTTTCCGAAATTAAATGTCTATTACATATCAACTTTCGGTAGATAGAATATTCTCTTTAATAATTAGAAATCTAAAAACCTCAATTACTGTAACGAAATGTACGAAACGCCAACAGAATCAGACTACAATGTCACTTATGTAACCTGCCTACAGTACCGTAACAAATCACCAATCCCAATTTGTCGCAGCAATTTTTGATAAATCAACGCATAACATTTTCTCTCTCAATCGTCTTTTTTAGTGTGTAATAATGATGGAAAATAACAATTATATTCCTCAATGTCAACATTTTCAACGTTTTAATTATACAAAAATTTTTATTAATTACCTCCTAAATGTGTTAAATATTCAGAAGAACAAAACTGTTCGGAATGTGCCAGAGATATAAATAGCCCACCTATCTTCGTATATTGTAACGTAAATCACTCATCGAACTTTAAAGGTTTTAAAGTTTATAAACACCTATGCGACCCCGGACGCATAAGGCGTCTAGGCGAACCTGCTCCCATGTGACCTCTCGCGGGTTGCGAGGGCACGGCTCGAGACTCACGCAGTTGGGGAGTTACCCGGCGACGTGTCCAAGGGCACGGCGTCGGGTCTTTCTTTAACGGCGCCGGTCATCGCTCTACGACAATCCGTGGAGATCCCCATCCGCCCTGCCGGGAGTGCCGTACCGTCGGGAGACCGGCGCCTCGGTCCCCACGGGACACGACCTGTAGGGTGCACGGTGCGCGACCGCAAGAGACCCCGTCGCCCGGAAAGAGGCGAGACGATCTGGCAGATTAAATCGGTGCACGAGGGAGCAATACGTGTTCCGAACGGCGCGTACAACAG